TACTCGCCGATCTTCTCGAGCACGCGGACGTAACTCGTCACCCCGAGCCCGAGCCCGCCGTACTCACGGCCGATCGTCATCCCCATCACGCCCAGCTCGAACAGCTTGTCGATCACCCACCGCGGGATCTCCTGCTCCTGGTCGATCTGCACCGACGGGTGCTCGTTCCGCAGGTAGTCCTCCAGCGCCGCGAGGAGCTGGTCGCACCGCGCCGTCTCCTCCGCGTCGCTCGCGGGGTAGGGGATGTACATCTCCTCGCGGATGTTCCCCCAGAACAGGTTCTTCACCATCCCCATCTCATCGGGATCCGGGCCCAGCAAAACCTCGGCGTCCTCGATCATCTGGCGGTCACGATCGGACACGCCCTTCATCTTCTTCAGATCGGCTTTCACGTCAGACATGCGCTGAATCCCTTGATGCGGCACGCGACGAACACCGGCGCACGCCTCGGAAATGGTTGAGACCCCGTCCGGAAGAATTCCAGATCTTCCGGAGGGGGGTTATTTGCTCTTGGCGAAGAACGACTCGATCGCCGCTTTCCCTTCGTCCGACGAGCGCAAACGGATGAGGTTCGACCGCTCGCACGCGAGCGACGCGGCCCACCCATCGTTCAAGCCCGCCTCCACACACTCCACCACCGCCCGGGCGCTCGCCGACTCCGGCAGCTGCCCCTTCACCCGATCGAGCCCCTCGCGGGCCTCCCCGGGGTTGTCCATGTTCGAGATCGCGAGCGGCTCGTCGCCCGGTCGCGCGTGCTCGGTCATCACGATCTGCTTCGCCCGCTCCAGCAGCGCGTCGCGACCGGAGACCAGCTCGCGCACGAGCCCCGCCTCCGCCGCCTCGTGCACCGTGAACGGCCGACCGTCCGCCGTCATGCGGATCGCACGGCCCGCGTCCATCCGCGCCGGCAGCATGTTCGTCCCGCCCCAGCCCGGGCAGATCTTCAGCCCCGCCTCGGGCAGACCGATCTGGTACGGCTTCGCCTCTTTCCCCGGCTCCCGAGATTCAGGAATCTGCGCGATCAGCGTGTCGCAGTGCATCGCCAGCTCGAGCCCGCCCCCCAGCGTCGCCCCGTTGATCGCCGCCACGCTCGGGCAGGGAAGCGCCGAGATCCGCCCGTACACGCGCGAGCCGAATTGCAGGTACTCATCGAGCGCCGCGTCGTCGAGCGACATGATCTCTTCGAGGTTCGCCCCCGCGACGAACACGCGGCTCCCCGACGCCAGAACGAACCCCTTCAGGTCCGTCCCGATCTCGTCCAGGGCCGCGTCGATGTCCTTCAAAAGCGCGGAATCGAGGACCACTACCGGGCGGTCCTCCTGCTTGAGCGTCATCACAACCACGCCCGATCCGTCGCGCTCCCATGTCGCAGACGTTGTGCTCACACATCCTCCAGTCAAAGACCTGACAGATTCATCGCCGAGGCAACCCTTCGCGTGCTCGCGAGCCCCCGCCCAGAGGCCACCAACGCGGATTCCCGCGTCGCGACAGTATAGCCGAGAACGGACACCCCGTGCCCGCAGGGCCGAAACCCGCCCACCGGCATGTCGCGGGATTCACCGACCCTCGCGGGACCTCAGGCGACGGAGCAGCGTCGTGCGATCCTCCCCGTCCGTGTCCCCGTCCCCATCGACGTCCGACGGGGACAGCGTGTCCGCGTGCAGATCCTCGATATCCACCCGGTCGTCACCGTTCACGTCCCCGAAGCGTACGCGGAGCCGCTCCGCGTACGCCCGCATCGTCGGCTCGAGCGAGGCGTTCAGCAGGTCGGAATTCCACACCTCCGCGTACCGGACCCCCGAGACCACCGCCAGGTACAGCTCGCCCTCGATCCCCTCCGGACCGAAACGCTCCGGCGTGTTCGTGAAGCTGTTCGCCACCTGCACCGTCGAGAAGCTGTCGAACGACGCCCCCGTGAGCAGCCCGTACATCCCCGGGTACACCTCGAACGCGTTCCGCACCATCCACCACGCACCCAGCACACCCACGCGACCGCCGTACGCCTCATCCGCGTACGCCACCACGCGCTCCGCCACCGCGTCGCTCCCGAGCACCGGGTGCACATCGTGCGCGAGCGCGTGGTCCGGGAACGCCTCGGCGAACGAATCGATCACCGATTCCCAGGACCCGACGAGCAGGTCCTCCGAGTACCCCGCCGCCTGCCAGTTCACGACGTCCGGCGGCGAAAACGGGATCTGCATCTCGAACCCGTTAAACGACGAGTGCGTGATGTACACCAGCGAGATCGTCTCCTCTCCCCCGTACCGCGCCCCGAACGCGCCCACGAACGAGTCCCACGCGCCCAGGAACACCGGGTCCCACGGGACCGGCATCGACAGCGATTCGCCGGTAAACGTGGAGTAGTCGAACATCGCCGCCCCCTCGCTCGCGATCCAAGGCGGCGCGTGGCGGCCGTTCGTCACCGCGATGGAGATCCTCTTCCCGTGCGCTTCCGCGCGAGCGATCTGCTCGTCGATCAGACTCCAGTCGTACACCCCCTGAGCGGGCTCGAGATCCTCCCACTCCACCCGCACGAGGATCCCGTCCACGAATTCGAGCGACGCCACCGAGTCGAGCACCGAGTCGCTGTTCGCGTGCGTCGGCGGGCAGCTGCAATACAGCCCCACCGGGGGCGAGACCTGCGCGTGAGCCAGGCCAGCAAGCCCGAGCAGCGCGCAAACACAAACGGAACCACGGAAGCCGGTCATACCCCCACAACGGGGCCGGCAGGACCGTATTGCCCCGATGCCAAAGGTTTTTCCTGATGCCTGATGCCTGATGCCTGATGCCTGATGCCTGATCCCTACTTATAGATCTCCCCCAGCATCGCCCGCGCCTCCGCCCCCTCTACAACCTCCGCGGACAAACCCGCCCCCTTCCGCACCATCTCGTGCACCCGCTCCCCGTCCAGTTCGTTGAGCAGCCCCTTGGTCACCCGCAGGGCGCTCGGCCCCGCCTTCGCGAGCCGCCCGACGGTCTTCTCCACCGCCTCGTCCAGCTCGCCGTCCCCGACGCACGAGCTCACCATCCCGATCCGCGCCGCGTCCGCCCCGCTCATCGTCCCGCCCATGAGCAGCGTCGCCCGCGCCCGCCCCGCGCCGATCCGAGACACGAGCCAGGGAGCCACCACCGCCGGGCACACGCCGAGATCGACCTCCGGGAACCCGAGCTTCGCCGACTCGTGCGTGATCGCGACATCGCACACGCACACGAGCCCGCACCCGCCGCCGATCGCCGCGCCGTTCACGCGCGCCACCGTCACCGCCGGCATCGTGCGCATCGAGATCGTCAGCTCCGCGATGCGCGACAGCAGCTTGAGCGGCGCGCCGGGTTCGTTCAGCACCGCCCGCAGGTCCATCCCGGCGCAGAAGCTCTTGCCCGCGCCCGTGAACAGGCACACGGACACGTCGCCGTTCGCCGCCACCGCGTTCACGTGCGCCTGCAGCTCGTCGAGCAGGTCCAGGCTCAGCGCGTTCCGCTTGTCTTCCCGCCGAAGCGTGACCCGCGCCACGCGCCCGTCGATCTCGAGTGTCGCCAGCTCGCTCATGACTTGTCTCCCCACATCGCGCCCAGCGCGACGCGCTCCTCGTCCGATCCAACCAAAGAAAGCGACGCGTCCAGCGCGCGCACGAACTCGTCGTCCCGATCCGTCCCGTCCACCTCGTTCATCCAACCCTTCGTCACCGCGAGAGCAGCGGGGGGCTTCCCCGCGAACGACCGCGCGACCTCCCGCGCCCGAGCGACGCAACCGACGGCATCCGCCGCGCACTCGTGCGCCAAACCAAGGCGATACGCCTCCTCCCCCCCGAACACCCGCGGCTCAACCAACCGCTCCCGCGCCGGACCCTTCCCGACCGACCGCACCAGCGTCGGCGCGCTCACCGCGGGCGAGATCCCCAGGACCACCACCGGGTACCCCAGTTTCGCGCCCGGTTCCGTCACCACGTAATCCGCCCCCCCGAGCATCGCGCACCCCCCCGCGATCGCCGCCCCGTGCGCCGCGAGCACCACCGGCTTCGCGCACCGCCGCATCGCCCGCACCCCCGAGCTCAGCTCGCGGAGCAGCGCCCCGAGTGTCCCCGCCTCGTCGAAGCACATCTTCAGATCGAACCCCGCGCAGAACACGTCCCCATCCCCGCGCACGAGCAGGCTCCGCGCACCCTCGTCACCCGCCGCCCGGTCGACCGCCCCCACGAACGCCCGCGCCATCTCCGGCGTCAGCGCGTTCTTCTTGGCCGCGCGATCCAGCACCACCTCCGCGACACCGTCGCTCACCTCGTACCGAATCACGAGCCAGCCCCCGCGTTCGCCCGCGCCACGATCTCCCGAGCGTACGCCCCCGCCTCCGCGAGCCGCGCCTCGTCGACGCCGGTCTCGTACCCCGCCTCGTGCACCACGCGCACGAGCAGCTCCGTCGAGATGTTCCCCGGCGCCCGCTTCGTGTCCGTCGACGCGTACGGGCACCCCCCGAGCCCGCCCGCCGAGCCATCAAACGACCGCACCCCCATCTCCAGCGCCCGAACCACGCACGCCCCCGCCCGCCCGAACGTGTCGTGCAGGTGCAGCGTCATCCGCGACCTCGAAGAAGCATCGAAACATTCGAGCAGCGTCTCGATCTCCTCCGGGTGCGCCACCCCGATCGTGTCCGCCAGATCCAGATCAACCCCCCGCCAGTCGTCATCGTTCGCAAAGAGCGTGCGAAGGAGAGCGACCGTCTCCAAAACCTTTCCGGGGGGCACCGGCCCCTCGAACGGGCACGCGATCGCGCAGCTCACGTACAGCCGCACGCCCATCGAGTGCTCCCGAGCCATCTCCACCACCGGACGGAACCGCTCGACCGACTCCGCGATCGTCGCGTTGATGTTCTTCTTGTTGAACGTCTCGCTCGCCGCCGTGAACAACGCCACCTTCAGCGGCACCCCCGCCTCGTGCACCGCCACCGCCCCCTCCATCCCCCGCTCGTTGGGGACCAGGGCGGAGAAGACCGGGGCGTGTTTGAGCTCCAGCCCCCGCACACCATCCAGCACCACGCCCGCATCCCCCAATTGGGGCACCCACTTCGGGCTCACGAAGCTCGTCACCTCAACCTCGTCCACACCCGCAGCGCACAAGTCCCGCACCAGGCGCACCTTCTCCGCGCTGGGGATCGCCCCCGGCTCGTTCTGCAGCCCGTCCCGGGGCGACACATCCGTGATGCGCACTCGCTCAGCCATCGCGCGAAAAGTGTAGCAACGCGAACGATTCAGCCACGTTTCACGATTTTCTGTTGCCCCATCCCCACCCGCCACTACATTGAAAATTGCACACACACAAAAGGCCGCGCCCCACGCACACAGGCGTGACCGACAACGGAGGAGTCCAGATGATTCGCCACACATGCCTCGGCGCGGCCGCTGTCGTCGCGCTCGCATCGTCCGTCCACGCCGAGATGCTCCCCGTCCGCTGGGACATCCAGGCCTCGTTCTTCTCCGTCATCGGAGAGCTTCCCGCCGGCCCCTTCGCGAACATGGACGACACCTGGGTCGCCAGCCTCAGCCTCACGATCGCCACCTTCGAAGAAGTCATCGAGCCCGAAGCCAACGGCCCGGCAGGCGACCCGTTCTTCCGGCCGATCTTCGATGACGATTTCGAACTCGATGTCCACGACGCCGACCTCGACGGCTACCTCCTGATCGGCGCCGGATCCGATATCGACGGCTCCTACCTCCCGCGCAACTTCGACACGTTCGACAGCGCCGACACCATCGCCAGCGACCTCCCCATCCAATTCGACCGGGGCGAAGAAGCCGGAGACGAGACGTTCGACCTCCGATTCGGGTTCAACGGCCCCGCCGACACTTTCACCGAGGAGGACCCCTTCCTCCTCGCGCCCAACCTCGACGACCTCTTCGGCACCGGCTTCATCCTCGAATTCTCCAACGGCGCGCGCGCCTTCGGCGAGATCGACGTCTGGGACACCACCTTCATCCCGACACCCGGAGCCCCCGCACTCCTCGCGATGAGCGGATTCATCATCGGCCGTCGCCGACGCTGAAGAGCCACCGCCCCAGCAGCACACACCGCCTCACGCTCCGCACCCAGAGCGTGAGGCGTTGTCACGCGCATGAACACCGCTTCATGCAGCCCGGATATCGTGATCCACCATCATGACGCGATCGATCTTCATCCTCCTCGGCCTCGTGACCGCCCTCGCCCTGCCCGTCGCGTCAGCGCAGGACGCCCCGCCCCCCGAGGCCTCCGCCGAGCAGGAAGCGCCGGCCGACCCCGAAGCCCTCACCGCCACCGACCGGGTCATCGATGTCAGCGAAGCGCCCCGCGACGAGGACATCGCCGCCCGCATCAGCAGCACCCTCGAGGCGACCGATCAGTTCACCGGCCTCACCGTCCGCGCCTCCAGCGGCGTCGTCACCCTCCGCGGAACCGCCGCGACACAGAACGCCAAGGACCTCGCCACGAAGCTCGCCGAGCGCACCGACGGCGTCGCCGCGGTGATGAACAACCTCGCCATCGACAAGGGCCCCGTCTGGACCCTCGCCCCCGCGCAACGCGAGATCGAGTCCATCTCCCGCGCCACCGTCCGCGCCCTCCCCCTCATCGGGATCGGCCTGATCGTCCTCGCCGTCTCGTTCCTCCTCGCGAGGCTCATCAGCTCGCTCGCCGTGCGCACGATCTTCGACAAAGACGACAGCGCCCTGCTCCGCAACGTCGTCCGCAAGCTCATCGCCATCGTCATCGGCCTCATCGGCATCTACCTCTTCCTGCGCATCTCCGGCCTCACCCGCGTCGCGCTCACCGTCGTCAGCGGCACCGGCATCCTGGGCCTCGTCCTGGGCTTTGCCTTCCGCGACATCGCCGAGAACTTCCTCGCCTCGCTCCTCCTCTCCGTCCAGCGCCCCTTCCGCATGGGCGACGTCATCGAGGTCGACGGGCACACCGGCGTCGTCCGCAAGGTCACCACGCGAGGAACCCTGCTCATCGACTTCGACGGCAACCACATCCAGATCGCCAACTCCACCGTCTACAAGAACACCATCAAGAACTTCACCGCCAACCCCAAGGTCCGGGGCAGCTTCTCCGTCGGCATCGGCTACGAGGACGACATCGCGACCGCCCAGCAGGTCATCCGCGACATGCTCGAGAAGCACCCCGCCGTCCTGGAAGACCCCGAGCCCCTCATCCTCGTCACCGAACTCGGCGCCGCCACCGTCAACCTCAAGGTCTACTTCTGGCTCAACGGCCACGAGCACTCCGTCCTCAAGGTCACCTCCTCCGTCATCCGACTCGCCGCCGGCGCCCTCACCCGCGAGGGCATCACCATGCCCGACGAAGCCCGCGAAGTCATCTTCCCCCAAGGCGTCCCCGTCACGATCAGCAAAGACGGCGACAGCCCGCGGCCCGCCGCGTCATCCCACGCCCCCGCATCGGCGGAACCAAAGCCCCGCCCGACCCACGACGACGACACCGTCGCCACCGAAGCCGAGGGCGACCTCTCCCCCGAAACCAAAGACCTCGAAAAACAAGCCGACGCCTCACGAGACCCCGACGAAGGCGCCAACGTCCTCGAAGAGCAATAACAACCGCGACAGTCATGGAGCGGATACGCTGAACCTCTCTTCAACAAGTGCCGGCCCGGCGCCGTCCGCTGCGTCTCCCGAAGCGAAGAGCAACCGCGAGCGGAAGCGAGCCGGACCAAAGGTCTCCCGACAGACCGCAGCGACCGGAATCCAGAACAGCAACAACCCAGCTCCTTCTCCCCTCGCGGGAGAAGGTGGCTGACGAAGTCAGCCGGATGAGGGGCCACATCAAGCCCGCGGCGAAGCCGCGCTCCTC